CCGCATATATCATATTTTCTTATAAATAAATTAAATCCTATGATTAGTTAAAAGAATCTAACAAACCTACCTAAAATTATAAAACCAAATCCTTAAACACATATAACATATCTTCAATCGAGAAAAACAAAACCTCAAACCCTTATATCATATCCTCTGAGAAACTTAAACAAGCCTACCTCAATTTAAAATCAATAAAAAAAATCTTGAAACACATATATCATATCCTCAATCGATAAAAACAAATCCTCAAACCGCATATATCATATCCTCTTATAAAGAAATTATATCCTCTAATTATATGAAAGAATATAACACACCTACCTCAAACACATATATTATATCCTCAATCGAATTAAATAAATCCTCAGAGCTTTCTATCATATCCTCTCAAAAACTTAAATAAACCTACCTCAACTTAAAAATCAACGAAAACACATCCTGAAACAAATATTATATATCCTCAATCAAGGAAAAAAAATCCTCACACATATGTATCATAATCCCTTTATAAATAAACTATATCATCTAAATCAGTTTAACAAACCTACCTCAAAAAAAAAAAAAAAAAAAAAAGCACAGGTTTTAAGCCCGACCAAAATAGGGTTGTGGGCTTATATATATTAAAAAAAAACCTAGGTTTTCACGCATATATTATTGTTCAAAAAAATCAACATAAAAGTGGAATATCGATGGAAGAAAACTTAGCAAATTATCAACAAAATGAACCAAATGATAAACAAAATGCAAAAAAAAAAAAAAAAAAAAAATCAATGGAATAAGTCAATTTCCCCAAATTTATCTACATTAACGTCAAAAAATTATAGAAGCTCGATTGAAGAAAATGAAGCAAATGCTCCGGAAATTGAATCAAATGATCAACAATCATAGAATGATTATGAAAAAGTATCAATTTCTCCTAATGCTACTTTAACATCTGAAAATATAGGTATTTTGATCTAAATTTTTTGCTTCATTTGAAAATGTATGTACAATTATTTTTAATAGTATATTTTAACGTTCATATGCATCTGAAAATATAGGTATTTTGATCTAGGAACAAAAAATTTAGGTAAAAAATAGAGCATCATATGTACAACAGGTCATATAATTTATAATAGAATAGATGATATCATGTTGAATATATATGATATCCTCTATAATAAATTTGATAACCTCAATACTACGTTTGATATCATCTTTCGTACAAAACATATCATGTTATCCAATGAATAAAGAATATCTTCCATAAAACAAATAATAACTTCAATACTACTTTTGATATCCTCCATACAATATATGATAACCTCATTAATAATTTTGATATCATAATTCCCTAGAGATTATATCATGTGTACAATATAGGATGTCATCCATATAAGTAGAGGATATACTGCGTATAATAGAAGATATCATCAATTATATAGAGGATATCATTAATATTAATATTCTCTATAACTTATTAAATATTTTTTTAAATTGGAGATTTAGAATATTTGAAATATGATAATGATAAAAACATCAAGTTATCTTTGATGGGAAGAGTTGTTGATGATCATGAGGATGCGTTGCGTTTGTACAAAGCTCACTTAAGAGCAATTGGATTCAGTGTAAGAAAAAATACTCTTAGGCGAGATAAAAAGATGGAATAGTATCTGGATTTTACTTTTGCTGCTCAAAAGAGGGTTATTTGGTACAGAGAAAGAAAAAAGAAAAGGAGATAGCAAATACAGAATTCATAATAGGAAATAAAAAAGCCATCAAAGAAGAGAAAATTAAGGTATGTTAATGAGACTAGAACTGGTTGTAGGGCTAATATAAGATTCAAGAGGACAAAATCTGGAGAGTATTGTGTTATTCAACACAATATAAAACACAATCATGGTTTGGTTAATCCTTTAGAAAGACATCACTTGAAATATGAAAGAAATGTAAAAGAAGAGATAGGATGGGTTATTGAAAAGACGGTATAGAGTGGAATTAAACCAATGGACTGCTATGAGTTTCTTAAAAGAGAAGTAGGATCAGAGGAAGCTTTAGGACACACAAAGAGAGTTCTATTAAACTAAGTAACTAGGTATAAATCTAAGATAATTGAAGGAGGTGGTATGCAAAGTGTACTGGATACACTACAAGAGATGGCAGAATCATATTTCTTTTTTTATTTTATTTTTTTTTATTTTTTATTTTTTATTTTTATTTTTTTACAGATTAAATTTTAGTGAAACTGATCATATAGTAAGTTATTTTTGGCGTGATTCAATGATGTTGGAAGATTTTAAAGCATTTGGAGATGTAATAATATTTGATACCACATATACAACAAATATGGTTTAATATGTGCACCATTTGTTGGAGTAAACAATCATTAGAGAACAACAATGTTTGGGTGTGCTTTTATAACTAATGAAACTATATAAACTTTCAAATGGGTACTTGAAACTTTCAAATAGTCTATGGCTGGAGCAGAACCAAAGACAATTTTCACTGATCAAGATCAAGTAATGAGCAATGCAATTGCAAAGGTAAGTAATACTTTTCAGTTAAATTATAGTATTTTAATTTCAGTGGTTAATATCATATAACAAAAAGAATAGAGTATATCATCCAATAAAAAAATGAGATACTCAAAAAACTGAATGATATCCTACAGAAATTGGATGATATCCTCCGAAGAAAGGATGATATCCTCTAAAAACTAGATGATATCCTACAGAAACTGGATGATATCCTCCAAAAACTGGATGATATCCTTTTAAGGCTGTATGATATCCTCTAAAGTAAAGATGATATCCTCCGACATTTATACAATATCATTTATTATAATAATTTCACATTTTATAAATAAATTTTTTAGGTTTTACCAAATTCAAGACATATGTTGTGTTTGTGGCATCTCCAAAAAAACTTTGTATTAAGATTTGGCCAGCTAAAAAGCAATGAAGATTTCAAGAACATGTTTGACAAATGCTTATATGGCTGTGATGATGAGAAAGAATTTGATGATTGTTAGAATGATATGATTCAAAAGTATGGATTAGAAGAGAAAGAGTGGTTTGATAGACTATATGAACTAAGACATGAATGGTGTCATGTGTTTAGCAAAGACATATTTTTTGCTGGAATTTTGTCGTCCCAAAGGTCTGAAATTACAAATAAAGCAATATCATTCAAAGGCAACAAAGAAACTTCATTATATGAATTCTTTCATATATCTGAAGCTACAGTACAAAGGCAAATAAGCAATGAAAAAGCAGATAACTTTAGATGTAGAACAAAAAAGCTAGAGACAAAATGCAAACTCTTGAAACAGGTTGCTGAAATTTACACTTTGAACATTTTTAAAGACTTTGAAGAGGAATATGACACAAGTATGAGATCGTATATTCGAGATGTGTTAAATGAAATGAAAGTTGGCCTAAATATGTTTGAAGTGTCTTTGCATGAAGAGTTCAAACACAGTCATAGTGTGTTTTACAGTGACAGGTTGAAGGAATTTGCTTTTCCTGTTTATGTTTCAATGAAACAGGAATAATTTGCTATCATATACTAAGGGTAATGCATATGCATAATGTGTTCATCATTCCTCCAATATATATTATGAAAAGATGGACAAAAGCTGCAAAATCTTCAATTTGGGAATACATAGAAGGTATGTATAATAAGATATAAGTTTAAAGTTGTAAAATAAATTTAATATGCTTATTCTAATATTACATTTTTTATTTAAAATTTTTCAGGAAATGTGCAAGAAGTTGGAGATTAAAATACAATGCTAGACACTCGACGAAGACACATTATTGCAAGAAATTTTTACAATTTAGTATGCATTTGTGAAACAAGCACTGATGCTAAAAAAAGTGTGTGATGAGTCTCTTGACAAGATGTATCATCAGGCGGTGAAGAAAGAGTTTCAATATGATGAGGAGAATATTAAGGAAATTAATGAAGAAGAAGAAAGAAGAAAAACAGTACCTAATCCTTTACTACCAAAAACCATGGAAGAAACAAGAGAATTAGAGGTCACTTCGAGAAGAGAAAGACAACTACTAGACATGCTAATGAATTTGGAACAAAAACTCCAAATCCACAACTAATTTAAATTTATTTGGCAGAATATTTCTATTACATTTTATAGACTATTTGACTTGACAATTATATTATCATCTTTCCTCTATCGCATTATTAATATCATATATACTACAAAATATATCAACAGTCATCAATTACATATCCTGTATCGTAATATCATAAGTCTAGAAGAAACATATCCTATATCGTATTTTTGATATCATAAGGCCATATGAAACATATCATGTATTGTATATTTGATATCATAAGTCCATATGAAACATATCCTCTTAAATCACTCATGTATAAATGATATCCTCTAAGGGATATATAATATCATGAATTAATAAAACATATCCTATATCGCTTTACTAAAATCCCCTTAAAATCAATCTTATTAGTTATTAATTGACTCTTAAATCAGTTAGACACCCTCAAACAAATAAATTATATTCTCAAACGGATATGTAATCCCTTAGTTAAGAAAAAATCCTCAACCAAAAAGTAGAATATGACCCTATATTACAAAACAATCATATCATCTTTTAAGTAAATAATATCCTCAGACAAAATTAAACGTATCCTCCATGTATAAAATATATGATATAATTACAAATTAAAATATATATCCACGTATATATCTATATATTACATATAAGTATATAAAAAAACCTATAATAGAATTGTAAAACATAAAATATATATATATCTATGTATATATATATATATATATACACACACACACATATATATATATACTACTACATTTTTGACCTAATGCCACGGCTAAAATAAGGCTATTGCAACGGTCGTTTTATTACCGTTGTAATACCATAGGCTAATGCAACGGATTCAGCTCTAATATTCTAAAAGGAAGAGCTAATACAACGGCTCTAAATAACCGTTGCGTTAGCCTACCTATTTCAACAATCAACAAAGCTAATGCACGGTATGTAATGAAAAATTAGATGGCGCCGAAATTTTTGTGACTTCCCTCTGCTTTTACCCCAAAAATTTAAAACCCCAAAGCTGCTTCACTCGCTTCTCTGAACTAAACCCTTTTTCTCACATCTTGGCACTACACCCATTTTCCCCCAATTCTCCATTTTTGAAACCCTAAATTACTATAGGAAAATTATTGAAAAATTTCTGAGAGGTAAATTAAACAAAGAAATCTGAGCAAGTAGACGAATTGAAGGCGACACTCAAGCGGTGGCTGATTGCTTGAACTTCAGGCGGTGGTTGCGAGTTTCAGGCGGTGGCTGCGAATTTCAGGCGGTTCCGACAAATCCCATTTTCATCTTGCATGTTCCTGCCTTGTGGTTGATTGCTCGAATTGCTGTTTAAGGTATACGGCATAGTTTTGTTTTTGAGATTGCTTAATTAAAATTTTTGTTGTTGCACGGTGGTGTTAGGGTTAGGGTTCCACCACGGAACCACTCCATAACCCACCTTCATTGACGAATTAGGGTTTTTTTGATTTATATTAATTTGCTTTTTCTTGTTTGCTTTGGTTGTAGTATTTGATTTGTGTCCATTTACTTGTAGAATCTGATTTGTGTTCATTCACTTGTAAAATATGATTATAATTCACTTAAATCTGATAAATTTTAATCGGGTTATTTTACATTTATGTGACTGTTACTGAAATTTTGTGTTAAAAATTATGCGTATATGCTTTGTTAGGGCTTTATCAATATTCTGTTTTTGCATGGAGCATATATTGGGTATGAAATTTTTTAATGTCAAATTAGCTCAATAGATCTCTTGGATGGATCTCTGATCTAATATTTTCAGAGCCTCCTGCATTTGAAGTTCTTCCAACTCTGCGAAGACAATGCATAATTGCTAATCGTGGACAATATGATGCTGTTTTTATGTTGGAAGGTGAGTTTCCAATGTTTGTATGCTATAATGCTGTAATTCATTGTACTTGCTGACATCTTTCTTCAAGGTTTTTGAACAAGTTAAAGTCATTTGTGCTGAGCCATAACCCCCAAAACCCCTGTATCTGCAGTTAGAGTGAATGCAACATTCTTGCTTATTCAGTAATGTCATATATGCATTTCATACAACTGCAAAGTCTTTCCAGACTAGTTTTCTCATACACTACATTTATCGTAGTATTTATGAATTGATAGTACTATATGAAGTATACTAATACTACAACCCTTTATCTTTGAAAAAAAAAATTAAATTATTTTATTTATGTGATTGGGGTTTGAGTTTTGTTGTTGTTTGGGTAAGAACTTTGTGGTACTTTTGTAAATACGTTGACTGCAGTATATATATATATATACTGTTGTGTATGAATTTGTTTCCTAAAGCAATATGTTTTTTCAGTGGCGATTTGCCTTTTCTACCTTGGTTGTATATTTGATTCTAGAAACGTTGTGGAGTATCATGAATGTAAGGCGGTTGCCTCGTAATCACGTATATCTCAAAATGCTGTTGAGTATCTTGAATGTAGGAAGTCTGTTTTTGAGTGGTGGTGTAGGTAATTTCTTCGGTCGATTTTTTTAGTGGGGAGGGTATTGCCCATGAATGTGTGTTTTCTTTCGTTTTTTTCATTTTTGATAATGTGAATAATGAATTGAAGTCAATATGCATACAGAAAATCACATTGCTGGTGGTGTTTTATGTATAGCAATTATTAAGAATAAGTAAACATAGTTTACATTCACAAAGTATGTTTACTTTGAATTACATATTCATGGAGAGTTGAACATTAGTGCTAGTAAATTAAAATCAGAATTTAAAAAAAAAAAAAGACTGGAAATAATGGCTGTTTTCTTTGCAAAGGTTTGTTAATTCTTTTCCCTAAAAAATGGCAACTATTTGCTTACTCTGCCTCTTATAGAGCTTTAAAGTTCACAATTACCATTTTGTGGCGTCCCAACATGAACTTCAATTTCATTTGTTATAAAAAATTATAATCGATAACTTAGAGCCTGTTCATTTCATTGTGAAATATCAGTTTCTTTGAAACTGAATAAGATTAAAAGAGATTATGAAAACCAAAAGTTTCCTGATTTTTGTTAGTTTTCAAAGCTGACTCGATTAATCTAACTAATTTTAAGTTTATTGTTCAACATATATGAACATATATCAAATGACTTAATATCCTAAAACCAAAAACTGAAAGATGGCAGAGATATCGAATGGCCTTGTAGGTATTATATCTTAATTCTTCCCTTCAAAATTCTGATTTAGTTTTATTCTATGTCTATGTAATCCCAATTATTTCGATCATGCGTCTAGTAAGTACTCTTATTCTCTGTTATTAGCTCAAGTGTGAATCAATTTTTTAGATGATTGAGTGTTTATAAAAAACTACTATTTTCTTTCCATTACAGACTACCAATGCTTTGTTGTAAACAGGTCTTCTGCCTAAGTTCCCCCCTGAATCTGTTAGAATGAGAAAGCCGTTCCATATGCAACCTTGGAACTCTTCCTTGGAGCTTGAGAAGAAACTTTTTAAGGTATATTAATATGATTGTTCTTTCCGAATTTAAGATATAGATGCATACATCCAACAATGAAACGAATTGATAATATTCTGAATATAATAGTTTTGTTTGTTATTAAGTGACAGTAAAGATCCTTAAAGGTATAATTTATTTGTTTAGATATTATTTAGTATTTTCTATGGTATTAGGTGTTATGATTTTAAAGTGCCAAGTGAGCTTCCATATGTTGCTGTTATGCATTTACAATGCTTATAGACACTTTATGTTTACATTGATGTTTGTTTAGCTATCTTAATGAATATAAGCATTATTAAGGAATATGTTGAGATCTTTGCTGGGGTTCTGATCTTTGTACTTGATTTGTTTCAGATGTCTTGAACTTTATATTGATGAATATTATATTTGTGAACAGGCTCTTCACTTTCTGTATACTTATGCTGTAATACTAGATCTTTATCCATTTACCCTTGATGATTTTGCAAAGGCATTTCATGATAAGGTGAGTTACTTTGTTTTCCTTGCTGCAAAATTTGACTATTACCAATTAGACTGCTCCACTGTTTCTTTGACTTTTGTAGCATGTCACATCTTGCATCTCAATAATAAGTTGAGATATGAAAAGATAAATTTTGACCCCTTCTAATTGGCTTTCAGGATTCCTCATTACTAGCTTTTGGAAGGGATGCTATTCCAGCATGATGTAATCTGTATCATGTTTTTGTATTTTTGCTGCTCAGAAAAATAGCTTAAGTAATTGTAAATTTTTAATGTGGCAGACTGAGACACAGGATTCTGTTGTGAACTTTTGGAAGACATCTCTGAATCCTTTGACATGGACTGAAATATTGCGACAAGTCCTGATTGCTGCTGGATTTGGATCAAGAGATGGTAACCAAAGTAAAGGATGCCTTACCAAGGTTTGTGGCTTTGTGTTGTTCCTTGGCAAACGAGATGAATTTGTGTTGCTCTAATACGCTATTGCTATGTCTTTAGTGTTGAAATAATGCATTTTATTAGTTTAGGCTGTTGTTTTCTTCCCCATTTTTTCAGATTGGCCCAATTATTGTGGGGCAAGAAATGACGAGGCAGTTTTCTTGGTATTTTTGCTAGCCTTTAGGCTCTGGATATAAGTGAGTGATCTAGAACTGAAAAGGATATAATTAAATCTAACTATCTCTTCTACCAGATAGTTTTTGAATTCACTTTACTAATTTCTCTTCAACTACAAAGTGATGCTGATGTTGTATATGATTAATTCTATTTAGCATAAATCTTGCATAGCCTAAGGGTTCTAAGTTGTGTAGTCACTATCTATATTTGTTTTTCAAGGTTTGATTTCCAGGAGTTGTGGCTCAGATGTATGTGTTTATCAAATGTGATATCTCTTTTTTATATTATGCATTACAAGCATCTATGCTTTCATGAACTGATGTTTTTGGATATATATGTTTTTTTTTTCCCATGAAACAGATCACATGTCCAAGTATGGATTTCATGAATTACTCTACGAGAAATTGAAGAAGCAGGAGAAAGAAATGATAATGCGGTCCAAAGAATTGCCGAAAATATTGTTTGGCGGACAAAATGATTTAGTTTTAACTTTTAATTGTTTTTTTTAGTTTAACTAGTGATAATTTACTTTGTATTTTTCCTTATAGATAACAATGTACAAACTTTGAATTTATATTAATAAAATTCTAATCAATTTTTTTTTTTTTTTAAATTCTGATTTTAATTGTATTATTATTATTATTATTATTATTATTATTATTGTAAACCGTGGCATTAGGGTATATGCTTGTGTGGCATAAGGTATAGGGAACCGTGGCATTAGGGTATATACATAGTGGCATTAGGTATAGGAAACCGTGGCATTAGGTATTATAGCTAATGCCACGGCAATAATGTTGCCGTTGCATTAGGTATTGATCTAATGCCACGGATCATTGATGCCGTGGCATTAGGTGTCATATGCCGTTGCATTAGACCTATTGTAACGCCAGCAGATGCCACGGTACATGGCCGTTGCATTAGGCCTAATGCCACGGATTTTGACGCCTAATGCAAAGGATTTGGGGGTTGCAATAGATAAAAAATGTAGTAGTGATATATAAAAACTTATAATCACAAATTTTCATCTGGCTTTGATTCTTCTTTTTTCTATAAAGTAAGTTTAGAAGAGAAAGCCCTTGCTTCTCTTTCTAATTAATCTGGCTTCCTAATTTTCAGCTCAGCATAATAAGCTTCTTCCTCTTTCTTCCTAATTTTGTGCTGCAAGAAGTTGTTTTTTCTTTTGACAAAAACTTACACAATCCATTCGAATAGCATCAACATAGGGGTTATTAGGGTGAAGCACCAATTCTAATGCTAGCTTACACCTAAAAACCTTCCTATTAACTTTCTGTAAAAGAGAAAGGAAAAATGAATATTGTAAGTTAAGAAAAAAACAAAAATTATGTAGATAAAATAATATATTACTGAATTCAATTCTGATAGAGTTTCATCGCAACCACCATTATATAGCTCCATAACTTTGATTGCATACAAACCACACTCTTCAACTGCTTTTGTTGACCTCCATTGAAATTAAGATAGTTAATATCACCCCATGTACTAATATGCCACAACTTTTTATTTTTGAAAATTTTCCCACTAGCTTCTTGTACACAATTAATCTACATGAAAGGTGTTTCGGGGTTTTCTGATGTCCTGCGGGAGAGTTACAATTTCGAGACTGGAACCGGACGCCTGTACCTGCAAAACAAACGGACACTCCAGATGATTGGAGGTCCGCCTCCAACGGTCAAGTTAGTACTTGATTTAGGAGTAATTAATGCGGAAATAATGTAATTTAGTCTCTCCAGGTGAGTGTGTTTAATGTGCGTAATCCCCTTTAATGAGGATTAATGAGCATATTTATATGCCTTGGGATGCGTGCCAATACCTAGGTTTAGGTTAAACATAGGGCTTACTGGGCTTCCCACAAAGATTGGGCCTTGTTGGCTGATTTACCCATTTGGCATGGATGGACACGTGTCGCGTCGCAATTCGTCCAAGGAGGACGTATCTCTGGTTGACACGTGGCAGCTCCCATTGGCCTACGTGAAGGACACGTGGCGGAACCTGGTTGGTCCACGTGTCAGATGGTGATTGGTGGACAAAAATCCCCTAATCATTTGCCCCTCACAGGTGGCACGTGACTGGTCACGTGTTACCTGTGACAGGTGTCGCACCGTAACAGGCGACGGCCTGCTACGGGTGTCACTTGGTGAAAGGCCGAGAGATTTTCCCGCCCAAATTTTGAATTTGGGAGTGACCCTTCGCCTTCTCATTTTGCCTATATAAGGGTGTGTTGACTTCAGTCATTTTCACACTTGAGAACTTTTGAAGAGAACATTCGGACCCCTGAACTTGCTCTGACATTCCGGACTCTTTCTGCCTACCGCCTGCTCTGACAAGCCGGCTACTTAGAATTTTCAGAACTTCGTCAACTTCACTCGTTCAGGTAAACGTCGGTTCTCTCACTCTTTTAATTTTTCTTTATTTTTTTCCCTTTTTGAAATGGCACCACGGAATCACACGACACGACCTAGATTAGTGATCAGCCGGTCACCGGGGACGGCTGAATCTAGGACTAGGAGTGCCGCCTGCCCTTTTTCGAACCAGTCTTTGCCCTTTATACAAAGTCCGACTGTCTCTGTGTCTATGCAGAACATAATGGCAAGAACAAAAAACTGCTAGGATCTCAAACTCAGACGGCTCCTCCTACCGGATGCCGATTAGTGAGACATCTGACCAGGTGCCAGATGCTGAAGTGAACCAAGGCGGCTTGACCGCCGACAGCTCTGAGGGAGGGGTTAAGGTGGTCCCTTCCCATTTTACAGTTGACATGTCTACATTTTCTCCCACTCCTATTGAAGGAGAGGAGGCGGGCCCCTCTGGGAGAGGAGAGGAGTCGTTCTCTTCGGATTCGTCAGAGGACGAGTCCGAGTCTGGTTCTTCTGGTCATACTTCTCTAGGCACAGAAGAGAAAAACAACCGCCTACAAGAGGCGAGGCTTTCTCACGCAGTTGAGAAAGGAGATAATTGGGCGGAGCCGTCCGCCTCCTACAGAGAACAAAACACCCCCTACTATTGCACAGTTCCACAGGGCCGGATCAAGGCCATGCAAGAGAAAGTGGGGAGCTTTATTGCGAACCACACAATGGGCCCCGGCTTTTTAGTTTTCGTGCCAGATCCGGAAGACACAGTCGTCTGGCTGGCTGGTACTAGTTATGATAGCGCCTGCTTTGGCTGCTACGAGGCGGCCATCAGGGCTGGGCTGCGCTTCCCACTACATCCGGCTATTCAGCGGATCTTGGATGGGTATGAGTTGGGGTTATGGCAGTTAGCCCCAAACTCTTGGTTCAACGTTCTCGGCTATGTGGCCGGGTGCGAACTGCACGGGGTGGAGCCAAACTTCGAGGCTTTCGCCCACATGAACTACCTCAGCCGGACCCCTAAGGCAGGCGGAACCGGCTGGTATCAATTGACGAGCCATAGAGGCTACCTCATGACAAGAGGGAAAGAAAATAAGTGGAAGGATTGGCGAAGCACCTTCCTTATCATTGAAAGTTCAGACACCGAGCTGAACAAGCGCTTCAACAGGTGGAACAGGGATCCGCCTCTTCTTGCAGGCGGTCGCAGCATGCCGCCTGTTCCTCCAAAAGCTAAAAAAGAGATCTTGGACAAAGGACTCTTTAAAGTAGAGTCGAGGGTCGACTCTAATACAGGGGTGCGAGAGCAAGTACCCCTGCACTGCGTCCCGAGCTTCAAATGGCTCTATGACGAGTACTTTTTGGCCCCCTGTGGCCTCAACAGTCGGTGTTCAAGAGGTAGCCGGCCTGTCGAATACTCTCTTTTGCCATGCATTATTGCTTAACTTTTTATTAACTTTGGTATTTGTCCTTGCAGCGGACGCCATGAGCAAAATCACCGCTTCTAAGACAGCGGCGGCTATGTTGCGAGCCTCTATCATGCAACAATCCTCTGCCGACTCCCCCAACAAGGAGGCGCCCTTGGTAAGTTCCAAGCCTTTCACCTTTTCTCCTTTTTGAAGTTGGGTTTATGCAGATATTGACCGTGTGGTTTTTTTTATTTTTTATTTTTTATTTTTTAGACGGGCACTCCAAGAACTTCTTCTTCCCAACAGCCGGACTCCAAGACCTGGAGGACGACTGTTGCGAGCTCTCCTGGCACTGCCAGGAAACATGCGGCGGCTGAGAAACAGCCGTCCACTCCTTCTCAAACTCTAAACAGGCCGCCTAGAAGTATGGAACTATCCTTATGCATTCGGACTTGCTTCCTTTTTACTGTTTCTAACATTTTTGTTTATGCTTGATGCAGCCGGCTCTCAGGAACCGGACCTGGTCGAGGTGGCCAAGTCTATGATCAAAGCCGTCTCTCCGGCTGAGAGAGAGGCGGTCAGGGGTGTCGGCACCCTTGACCTAGACGGTATCGCAGGGGTCCTTGCTGAGGTATACTTAGCATATTTTTGTCATTTAAACTCCAAGACGCCTGTTTTTTGTTTGACAACTGACGCCTGTTTCCTTTTACTCAGGCTCTGCTCCGAGTGAACGGCCTTCGCAAGCCGCTTGATAGGAAGAACAAAGAGGTAAAGGCTGCTAAAGCTATGGCCGCCTCTGACTGTGATAAGGCAATGTTTCAAATTGCCCAAAATGAGATTTTGACAACTGATATTCTTTATTATCAGGCGCAGGCTACTTCTGCTATCAGGACTCAGTTGGAGGCGGCCTAGAAGAGGAATAATGAGCTGGAGGCGACCATCACCAACCTCAAGGCCGAGCTGAGACCTCTTCGCCAAAAAATGAGCTCATACGACACCTTGGAGAAATCCTTGGCGAGCGTTAAAGAGCGCCTGGCGACTCAAGAGAAGAGCCTAACTGAGGAGCTCTCGGCACAGGCCGAGCAGGAAAAGAAGGAGCTGGTCCGAGAGATGATGGAAGACTCGGCTCAAATCCAGCGCCTGACCTGGGGCCGCCTCTTCCCCAATGCCGACTTTGCCTCATGGGAAAAAACGTACCGCCAGTGTTCCGAGAGATATAATCAAGAGATTCTGGCGGCTGCTGAGGACGAGGCATTGCAGGTGGAGGAGCCGGTATTGGCCATTGTGCCAATTGGGGTGGATGCGTCAAAAAAAGATGCGGCTGAAGCCGAGTCAAGCAAGAAGAATGCTGACCAGGCGGCAACTGTTATTATTGAAGATCTGCCCCCAACTTAAGCTTTTTGTCTTCTTTTTTCTTCGGCCTGCGTGCCGTTTGTTTCTCTTTACCCGGCCAGGGGGCCGGGGTTCTGAACATTTTGCCGGTCTTAATGGCCGGCTTCTTTCTGTATCTTTACCCGGCCAAGGGGCCGGGGTTTTAAATATTTATGCCGGTCTTTATGGCCGGCTGTTAATATAACTTAGGCGACCATTATTTTAGGTCGCCTTTTTTGCCAAAATGTTTCGAATTTTCGAATTTGTGCTTTAATTTTTCTAAGTATCGAAACTCTGATATCCAGTTGCATACTATACCGACTGTTTTGCATGGCCGATAGTTGTAGACCGGTAAGATGTAGCCACACTGCCTATGCCCCTGGACGACTGGTTGTCTGTTTCCAGGCTAGGCGATCAGTCGGCCATTTATCCAACCGGTATCTTACTCATATTGAAGACTGGATCCCCTTTA